GATTCATCCATAATCTATATGCTGTCTAATACTGAAACCTTCGAATGGTCCTTGGTGTAATGACGGGAGTAAAGTCGCCAAACTGCGTCCTCTTGAGTATTCAGATGCGCTGCTTGAATTAATGCAGCGGAACTAATGACTTCAGCATATAAAGACTGTTCAGAAAGTACGTATGAGTATCCAATTGTTAATTGTCAATTGTCTATTCGCCTAGACGCGCGAAAATGAGCAAATTTATCAATCAATCATCATATAGTACAATTCCACAGAATTCCAGGGCAACTCAGCGAGCATTGAAGCGCAGGGCTTTTACCAGTCAGGCTCCAATTCTCCATGACTACTATCTCCCTGCAGATACGCCCCTCCATAGCACTTCAAGCACTACGACCACGGCAAAGATAAAAACGCAGATGCTTCCGTCCAAGACCTGCCCAAGGGCCAGGCCAAAGTCGACGAGGTTACGCCCTTTATTGGCTCTGAAGTTCACGGCGTGGAACTGAACCAGATCTTAAGCAAGGCAAGGACCAATTGGTCCCGTACGTTGTGTACAGAGACTGGTTGGTGAATAACATCAGAAACTGTTCAACTCCAGTTACCAAGTACCAGGTTCACATCTAACGACAAGCTACTTCAGGCTTTTACGTTATGGTCCTCTCCCACACGACACCTAGTACATACGACCATAGGGTGTGGAAAACAGTTCTTCCCGTGCGCTCAGTCGTTCTTAAGCCATATACTATAGGCGGCCAATTCCCAATACACCCTAAACTTTAAAGCAGCATTAGCTTTTACGTCAGGGTAAGTGTGGGTAATGTAGCTGAGAATTCTAGAGACTACAGTGAGAACGGGTGAGAACAGGTGAGAATTCTCACCCCGAGATGAACATATCTACTTTTATTTGACCGAGTTTAGGAGACAAATACTAGCTCTAGGGCGTATCTATAAAACGCAGCAGCAAAGTCAGTTTCCATGAATTGACTTTGTTATGACCTTTTGGTCTAATGGGAAAGTCGGTGGAGCAGTGGCCTCCGAGAACCAGTACCGAAAAACGCACCCCGAAGATTTAGGCCTAATTCATCATCGCTATCCGGCAATAGCAAATCCAACCCTAACATATCTGGAATTGCGATGAAAATGGCCTCCAATTAGGGCAACCGGGGCGTTGTAAAATTGTCACTTAGTACCCGAATCGCTAGCGAAACCCTACAGCAACTACACGCGAGCTAGCTACTACTATCGAATACGTAAACGCTACTGGCAAAATAATCACTCCCTAGTTCCTATTTTCTAGCCAAAAAAAAATAGAGCGCTGGTTCAAAGATACTCTCTAGGATGATTGCCGAATTTAGACTACACAAAACAGCTATATCAAGGATAAAATAGCTCCATAGTAGCCTAAATACCTGTACGACTAGAAAAATCAAAGAAAAAGCGGACGCGGGTTGCTGCTAGACGGCCACAGCTCTTATATAGCTTATAAATTTCTAAAGCGCTCCGATATAAGCTACGAATTGTCCTGTTCCCCCCCGCTATACACTACCTACCTACTTCAACTGCTTAATAGTAAGCTGTCTCACTAGCTAAAATAGCAATACAAGTAGAGGAATAACTATATACCAGTAGTAGGTAGCGATCCGAGGGATAAAGCGGTATTTCTACGTGATATTCGCGCGATTTATGAAAAGCCTTTAAAACCACGTACAATTCGAAGCGCTTTTACAAAATCGTGTATTTAGCCGATTAATATAGAGATAATCATCAAATCTCTAGTTAACTAGCGAAGTGGATATAGAAATTCTATATATTTATACGGTTCGGATAGTAAACCAGGATGACCGGAACCAGCGTCTAATGACACGAATTCACTGCTACAGACTATCCGAGAGATGACGCGTAGTTTAGAAACAGCAAATCTACCACCGGATCTTACACTAGACAGTTTCGGGTACCTCCGGCGGCGCTTCGATATTATAGAGCACCCGATGCGAACACTAAAGTAAGCGCAAGACCAAGTTCAAGGGATATTTTAGCGAGAAATTCTCGTAGGTTAGTAAAACAAGCAGCAGAAGCAAGCGGCAGCTACCAAAAATAGGGCCCTAGAGCGTTAAACACGCTAAACACTCTATAGCTGACCGGAAGGCTTGAGGCGCAGCTGCTGCGTAGCGCCAAGCGGACCGGCTAGCTGGAAGATCAGCTGTTTTAGGTGACCCACAGCTGCCGCCGAGGGACGAAAATTCATAGAGTAGTAAAAATATTACTAGAAAAACGGGTGTATTTGATTATAGGCGAATTGGCTATCTTAGTAGAGAGTAGTAGGAGAAAATAGGGTGAAATGGTATTTGGTAAGGGATTTGCAGGTGGCACAGGAGCCCCCACACCCGCAGGTAGTGGGGGCGAGAGCAGCGAAAGCAGAAGGGCACGTCTTTTGACTATTAAGCTTATTAGTTGAAGTCCGTCCAACAGAACAGCTGATCGGGTTCCATAACTCAGTTGGTTAGAGTGTGGTGCTAATAACGCCAAAGTCGAGGGTTCGACCCCCTCTGGAACCACGTTTCTATTAATTTTTTTGGCCTTATGTCTTCCCAAATACATAGGTGTCTGTTGCGTTAGGCTTCCTGAGCCACTGAGGAGCATGTTTCACGGTTGAATCCAAGCATTGGTATTTTCCAGGTAAAATGACAACTGACAACTATGTTGGAGGGATCTTATTGCTTCTAAGCGATTCCTAAACAAGAAAGTAAATCCCAGTCCATAACGCCAATAAACGTCGAGAAAGTATATTTGATGAAAGTATATTTGATCAGATTATATCGACACATCAAAGGAGACTACTATGTCCATTATGTAGGCTATCGATTATGTGGTTGAATCCAATGATAGTATGTAGGTATACAATGCATGTATATGGGAACTTACCCACTATTAATTTCTTTGCGCAGCGCACATTTTGAGGCTATCTAACTCTTTGTCGGGCATCTTCGTCATAATTAGTAGCAAAGGGGCGATTTAAGGGTAGACAAAATTCATCCACGACTTTGCTGGAGTTTTACTCCTAGTTTTTTCTTATAGCTAGAACTTCGTTAACTACACTAGGTGTGTACATCTCCAGAGATAGCATGAGCCGCGGACTAAGTATCTTAAAAGAAAAGCTAGAACAGCCGGGAAGAGCTTGCACAGCACAAGACTGAGTAAGCTTGAACATTCCTAGCTATAGTGTCTTGTATGTCATACTGATAGAGTATGATTGCTGGTTGTCCCGTCTTTATGCTGGCGCCACTAGTCCGTGTATTCGGTCTGACGTAGAGCTCCTTTTCTCATGCGAGTCACGATCCAACGGCGACTCAACGAGCAAGTCTCATTGAATGACGACGCCCTCTAACATATCAACTAGCGTGTTCATATGTATAGGAAGCTTGCTTCCCTGGAGCTTTGAAGCCATATCTCGACTTTATTTCCAGAAGCATCGCGGCCTTTGATCGATATTGCAAGTCGAGCAGACGGATCGTAATGAATTGCTTCACGTGTATAGCGATGAGGAACTGCCGTCTTGTAAAGATAGAATTGAACGATAACCTTGCTCCCCAGTGATATGTTCAGCGATTGAGCTAAGAGAGATTTCATCGCTACCTCGAACAAAGCACATAAGTAGCTAACCATGGAATATGGCCCGCGACGAATTTGGCTTCGGCCGCTTTTCTCTCTCTGTGTGTGTGTGCGCGCCCATGTCAGGCATGGGGCCAAAAAAAAACTGAGAAGAAACGTGGTTCCAGAGGGGGTCGAACCCTCGACTTTGGCGTTATTAGCACCACACTCTAACCAACTGAGTTATGGAACCTGGTTGTGATACCTTCTAATGGTACTAACCCAAAAGTTTCAAAAAATAAAATTTCCTCCTGTGCGGGGCTTAGACTATGGCATGGGGTCATGTAGTTGGTGGGTCTCACTGTTGTATGTTTTTGTTTATGGGAGGAAGATTGATAGCAGGAAAAGCCCGAGGGCCTCGGCAGTATTGCAAAACTCGAAGAGGGCAAAGGTGGACATAAACATGAACTGGAAGTTCGGGGGTCGCGGTTCGACGAGGTAAACCGGGGCGCGGTGAGAATAAAGAAAAACGACTGCAAAGCCACGTAAGGTAATCCGGGACCCGTACTTGCCCAGCAGCTGTTCTATGACAATAGGGAGGACGACACCGCCGATTCCGGTGCCGGCCTACACGACGCCGAAGGCGAGACCCTTCGTCTGTCGAACCACTCTTCCATTAGGAGGATGCAGGGGGCGTAGGCGATGCCGCTGCCGAGCGCATAGAATATTCCTTGGGTTACTATAAGGTGTTTTCTGTCTGTGGCGAGGGAGCTGAGGCCGAGAGTGGCACACATTAGTAGGACACCTAGACCACAGCCGAAGCGTTCATATTTGGGCCATTGTCTGTAGACGGCGAAGACAAGTGCGAGGTCGAGATACATGATTTCCTGCAGTATGTAGGTTAGCTCGGGTTGGGTTGGAACATGGAATATTCAATTTTGCCATTGCGTAGGTTCCGACGATGGCGATATTACCAGAGTTCTTGAATTGGGAATATCGGTTTATTACGCTTGGAAGACACCGTAGGTGAATGGAAATCCCCAGACGAGAGCCTCCATAACGAAGCACGTAGCGAGGAACAGCCAGGCATTCATTCCGCCATCGATGGGCGGGAGCTGCGCGCCATTTTGAACATTTGACAGGCGAGTATCGTCAGTCGTCGTCCCCTCTAACGCAGTTTTGACCGCTTTTTCAGTCTCGTTTCTCGATGGTATGGTCCCATTACTGGAGCTAATGTAGGTCTAATAATAAATGTCATACGGGAACGGGGTTTCCAAGATTCGTCGGTAATTCGACATTCTCCGCGATCCGATAAGCCGGAAAACCCAGTCTTGTAGTAACTCTGGTACAAGGGGACTGCTAGCGCTGCACAGCTGTGATATCTCCCATGTATGTGAACGTTAAGCCCACAAGCAATTTCAAGCCAGAGATCTTTTGGTCTCATGTTCTCTGTCAATGACTTTTACTTGAATGTTTGGCTTGACAAACCACCCACTACTAGTAGTCCACTGGCTGTCACCTGCAGGGACGAAGTCAAACCGCCGCACGAGTTGCGGTAAAAGTTTCGTCATTTCGAGGAGTGAGATGTTCCTACCGATGCATGTCCTTGCGCCGGCACCAAACTGTAGACCCTATCAGCACGACTTGTATTTTCCATTTGATGCCATCGATAACGAAGGAAAGGACATACCCCTAAGAAATTGCGATCTAAGAACGCAAGTTGTTCTTTGCCAACCAACCAACGCTCAGGTCGAAACTCGCGTACATCTTTGCCCCAGATGCTTTCATCACTATGGATCACCCATGCATTCACGCCCACCACGGTCTGTTAACAATCATATAATTAGCCCTTGTCTCTGAAGAGGGTTGATCAGCTTGTCGGAGTTGCTTGAAACCTACACCTTGTGGGAAGTGTTTACCCGCGATCTCTGCGCCGCCCTCAGGAACCACTCTGCTGAGAATCTGGCCGACTGCTGCATGCAGCCTCAAGGCCTCTTTGATGGTAGCTTGCAAGTATGAAAGCTTTTGACCTTGTTGGAAAGTAACGGGGTTCGAAAGATTTCCTTGCCCAGCCGCCGTCTCAATTTCATCACGGAGCTTCTTTAAGCAATCCGGATGCTTCATGAGAAAGTAGACGATAGCACTCATGCTGATGCCAGTTGTGTCAGAGCCAGCACCGATGTTACCACTAATCACATTATTGATCGTGGACTGATCCAACTTGCCAGCTTTGTTCAATTCGACACACTTCGCTAGAAAGTCCTGGCGATTGCTGGTACTAACACCCTTCATTCTGTCACCAATCTCCCTCTCTATAACTCCTTCTGTGACTTTCCAATGACTTTTGATGGGTACGACGCTCTGAAACCAGTGGTACCATGGATGAATCTCAGGAACAAGCCCAACCATGGAACCGTAACTTATCGACGCGACATGGACAGCATGCAGAAGCCCGTCCTTGTCATGACCGGCTTCGATCAGGCCAAATGATCGCCCTAAGGTTATCTCGCCAATCACGTCGAATGCGTAAAATTGCATCCAGGTGAACAAATCGAAAACGTTCCCGTGCTGGGCATGGTCGGCTAACGCGGCCATGAATTCACCATTCACTTTGTCTACGAATGGCTCATAGGACAACAAAGAGCTCATGGTGTACATGTTGGAGATCTTTTTGCGTTCTAGTGCATGCTTCTCATTGATTGTCTCAGAAAAGACATCCTTGTGGCCAGAAGTCGAACCAAAGGGGCTGTAGAAATCGGATTTGCTGAACTTGGAGCCGGGGCCGTAAATAGTGCGAATTACAGTCGGGTCGCTAATGCTGTACCGATTTGGTGCCAGCCGGACAATAGGACCTATCAAAAATTAGTATCCAAAAATCTGTATTGGGTGAATCAACCTACCATATTGTTCATGTAAAGCGACTGTCACATGTTCCAATTGCCCTTGCCAGTTCTTGTACAACTCCCACAGACGAGTATATCGAGTGAGCGTTGGGCCTTTGACATCATGTAGAGGGCTAAAAAGATCCCAGAGCAGATAATACAAGATCAAGAGGGTGCTGGCCGCGGCAATAAGCGTCAGCACGTCGTATGGAAGGGATGCAAGTTGGGAAATCATATTGCAAAAGAAATCTCAATACCAGTCGAAATTCTGACCATGGAATACAATATAACAGAGGTCAACCTGGATCATCATTTAGACTGTTTATTACACGTGATTTCCGATGATTCCGCGGCGAGATATCCCAAATGTGGAGACGCAAGGCTCTCGGAACAAGGCCGCGGAAAGCGTCAATCTTGGAAACTACACTGGAATACACCCGTACATTCGGGACTCCTACCAAGGCCCGACTCTTCACGGAATCCACAGTCAGCCGATCCACTGAGCTTAAGCTCCGTGTTTGATGAAGACCATTCCGTGTTTTCGAGCAGTAACATTGAAGGAAAGATCGATAACGTCAAGTTTCAACTAGACATACAGGTATACTGTTAACGTTAACTCCAGGATTGTGACCTGATCTACCAGGCAATCCCAATATCGCTGTCCAAGCAGGTACTCATATTAAAAAAGCCATCGTGTCCGCAAGTCAGCTGGGTTGTCCCGACCTTGAAACATTTGAAGGCATGAGCTAATCTGTGAGGTGCCTAGGGAAGGCTACATCCACAGGATATATAATGGCCCGCTCTGGCTAGAAGGCAGCTATGCAGGTCTAAGAGAAATTGACAGGCCGAATTCAGGTATGGCCTTGAAGGAACTGGGTTACGTTACGACCAAGGGCATGATGTTCTTCGCCTTGTTGTAGAGTTGCTCATAATCTCCAAGGTTACCTAGGTAATCATACAATGCCATTAGGTAGGCAACCGTTTTTGTATCCTTCTGTTTCCTTGCGTTGCTTTGAAAAGGTTCTCTTCCTCTATCTTTGTCTCGTTCCTTGTGCATTTGACTCTTAGAATGTACATTGTTTAGAAAGTGAAAAGCTCTATTGAACCTTTTGAGAGAGGAGACCCAATTCCGTTTAGGTTTAGCCAGTGCTGATTCTTCTCGCTGATTAGTCGGCTTTCCGGGACTGGGCTCTGTGTGGGCGGTTGAAATACCAGAGCTGGCCACTCATGGAAAGTGACCACTAGAGCAAGTCTGCGGTGCATCATAGGCGTGTTGGGTCTTTGTCCCACCCTTCCCGGGTCCATGGGTAAGGTCTTCATCTATTCAACCTTGGTTGCTATGTTGTTACAGAAGAAAATAAATCAAGGGTCCACAGGCCGATAATATTGATCGACTGGATTGAGGTTAGGTAGAATATTGCGCAGGTAAACTTGTTTTATTAATAGAAGTGGGGGGCTATATGTAACCCCTATTTCGTCGTATAATATGACCCACGTACGTCTGCATGAAGATGACGAAGTCTGGGTTAATTAAAATATGTTACGGAGTAGACGGGGCGCGGTGGGTATCCGGCCCCACCCTTAAAGGCACACGGGGCTCATCCCCTCACTGTGGCTCAAGATTCTTTTTCATCCTTCAATTCTATGGGCAATATGAAAGTTGCCACATCTTCAGCTCAATCTCGGGATAAAAGGTCGCCAGGTTCTCTTCGGGAGCCGCGGCCTCGGAAAAGGGAGAAGTATGCAAGAATGGCCTGGTAGGTTATGCCCTCTTCATGCATTATTGAAAGGCTAGGCTGAGTGCCCCCAATAGTTCTCTATGCAAGGCACGAAAGGTCAAGTGCAGCGGCAACCAACCGTGTAGCCGGTGTGAGGAGCTGCATAGCGAATGTACATACAATGAACCGTTCCAGGCTGATACCGAGTATGCCCCATGGATATGAGGGGATGGTACCCCAGTCGTCGATGCTTCAAACTAATCGTCAAACAGCAGTTTTGGCCCACAGCCGGCCTATCAAGACCTTGAGGTCACTGTCCTGCGAATGAACAGGATCTGTGACCAGATGCAACAATCGATGGGCCGGTTTGGCCTCGCTCATCCGAGCAGGTCCTGCCTGCAACGAGGGAAACACAACGTCCACAGACCCCGGCTTATTCAACCCCTCGCGCTTACGGACTTCCGACACAACTTGAGTCTCACGCGAGATGCGATGAAAACAAAGGGTCTGCCACCTCCTCAACACTCACAAGATGGCACTTACTCGGTCGCTGGAGATGGATTCAAATCTGCTGGCACGTTGATCAACTTACTGCAAACTGCACGACCCATTCTGGAACTCGGTCACGAGAAGGTCACTCAGATTTTCACAATATTCAAGGACGAGGTCTACCCTCTATATCCTTGCATCAGCCTAGAACTCGGCTATGAGGCTGTCAACGCTATCTTTTTGCTTTGGAAAGATGGTTCCCACGTGGTTACTTTGAACGTGGATATAATTGACGTCGAGATTATAAAAGCGGTTGTGGCCATCGCCTTGCTGCTTAAAGGTGACACAGAGAACATACTAGCCTCTGACCTTGAAGCCCAGTTGGTGTGGAGCGTGGATTCTTGTTTCGATCAAGTGAAGCCGCAGGTTGAGGATATCGTCATAGCAACTCTGATGGTGAGCCACTTAGCTCATTCCCAGAAACAATCGTCCTCTACTAATAAAAGGGGATCACTGGTTCCCATGCAGTCAATTTATTTACAGCTCAAGCATAGGCCAGTCAAAGCATGGCGATTGGTCGGAGTGGCCTCCAAATTGTGTCTCGAGCTCGGTCTCCATCGGGAAACGTTATGTGAAGACCTGAGAACTCTCCCACAGCGGCTGGCTGAGTGGAAGCGCCTGTTCGCCTGTGTTTATCGTCTGGACAGGCAATGCAGTTTCTATTCGGGACTACCGTGGACATTGCATGACAGATACGTCAATGTGTCTGCACTCACAGTAGTATGCCTCTCTATTAGCACTCGGGTGCATGCGGCTACATTCTTGCGGCTAACATCCCCGGGGCTAGGAACCACAAGAGTCCTATATATCAACCATGATATCCTTGGACAGGAATCTTTCGGAGATATGGACTCTCGTCAATACTCCATCATTTCAATCCAAAAATAATAAAGAACAGATTGAGTTCCTCGACTTTCAACTCCAAAAGCTTGTTGACAAGTTGCCGACAGAAGAGTTCAAGTCCCTAGAGCCAACGGTAGTTCCACCACCATGGCTACAGGCTGGACTGAAACGGTTTTGCTGGCTTCGCGTGCATCACATCAGGATCCTCACACACGCTGGCACATCCGGCTCAATAAGAGATTCAATCTCTAACCCAAAGTCGACTAGAACCCTCGTGGCCGCAGCCGCGCAATCGGTCGATCTGCACGTGGAAATGGTTAATGCTGGAGAAATCAGCCCGCTCGTGTTGCCCACAGCGGTCAAACTGCTCCTTATCTCTCTATCAGTTATGCTGTTTGCTGTGTCACACTTCCCTGAGGACTACGGATCGCTCTATAGCAAGCATTTTCAAACTGCCATTGATATTCTTAGTGACGTGCAGAGCTTTGTCAAAGACCCGGATCTGAACATCCGGGATACCTTGGAGGTATTGGACAAGATTGCTGAAACGAGTGGGACGTCACAGCCCCAGCGGTCAACGTCCGTGGTCAATCACAAGGAAGGCACTAGCAACATCATCTATCGTGGAGAGGCCTTCGGTGAAGGGAGCTTGTTTGAGGAACCCCCCACGCCGGACTCGGAATTCTTCTCTATGTTAGGGGACTTCAGTACGACAGCAACTGATATATCACATGTCGACAATATCTTTGACTAATAGCAGCAGAAAGGGTAGAACGTCGACAACCCTATTTCTGCCCAGGTCCTTATGCTGTCGATACTTCCTAACGTAGTATGTACTTATGCATAATCGGGTGTTGTACCCATTGATAATGTAGTCTTGGAAGCGCGACTGTCACGAAGCGATCGACATTCTCCGCTAAGAAATGAAATACGTACGTGCGATCCTTTGTGCATTCTAGTATGGAAAGATAAGCTAGAAGTCCTTCCCCGAGATGTTCGCTGGTCGAGACAGAGGCCGATATTGCGACTATGACTTGTGCACATCTTCAGCATTATTGCTCATACTAGATTTAGGTATCAGGGAGTCGATCATGCTTGGCTATTGGAACGGAAGTTCCGAATGCCGCTTACTCAGATGAAGGGGCCGCCCGGCCCTAGTTGCCTAACTAGGTAGCCCCACCTCTGGCTGTATTGAGAGTAGTATGCACCTTTTGTGCCGTTGGTTTTCAGATGGTGCTACAGTCTAACACTTCTCTTAAATCGTCCACATCTACCTTCTAGTTTTCAGGTGCTCCATAACAGTAGATACTATTGGATTCCCATTTGACCTTCCAGTTGCCCGCGCAGATATACAGTGGCATTTCATTAGTATTTGCACCCTAGTACTCCTATCCCTTGACCTCTCTATTATACCGCCTACCTATTCCTACTAGTATACACCCACCTGCGTAGCACGACTAGGTAGAAGTTTTGAGTACGAAGTTCTACCGGCAGAAAATAAGTGGGTCTCGGGCATTCCGCAGCCACCCGGGTGCAAATACTAATGAAACACGACTGTAACTATTGCTTCCGAGATTATTGCAGCAACTGGCCAAGCCACCGGAAGAGCAGATGATCTTCAACCGGAACTCATGGTCCTGATTAATAGATATCCACCCGGGTACGGAACTGGGCTTGTCCGGTAGGTATCCAGTCCCGTGAGCTCCGACTTCTCAATGCATATATATTTGAGTGTGATCCAGAGCAATATTCAAGTCAAACGACAACTTTTCCTTCAGAAGTTCACCAGCCGGCACTGTCAGTATCGGGAATGGAGCGAGAACAAGACACAGGGATATCCGTTCTTGTTGTTGGAGGTGGCATTGCGGGCCTGACCTTCGCTATTGAGGCTCATCGGAAAGGCCACAATGTCCGGGTAATCGAACGACGACCCCGTGGAGAGACCTTCGGTAAGCATAGAAAGAACAAGCAAGAAGCCCCATCGACCTCCTCTTAAAATCCAGGTGAATCACCAAAATATAGAATGAACGTACTGGCTGACGAAATTGCGGATGGACTCCTGATGCAGGTGAAATGATCGTTATCTCGACTTCAGCTCTCCATACTCCAAAGAAATGGCCAGGCTTCATGGAGCGGGCGAGGCAAGAGGCAATTACTCCAGTGCTCAATGTGAAAAAATTTGACGGCACCCTGATCGGGACCTTTCCCCTTGGTGACCCGAACAACCCATCCTTAGCGATCTACCGATCAAAGCTGCATAAAGTTCTCAATGAGTATGGCTTGCAGCTCGGCATACCCGTCGAATACTCCGCGACGGCTTCGGATTTCTTCGAGGAAGGGGACCATGCTGGTGTGATCCTGGATGACGGCCGTAGGCTCACGGCAGACGTAGTGGTGGCTGCCGATGGAGTTGGCACCAAATCGTGGGCATTGGTCGTCGGTAGCAAAGATACCCCCATTAGCTCGGGATTCATTATGTATCGAGTTACCTTCCCCGCGGCACCGGCGCTCGAGAACCCAGTCATCGCGAAGCAGTTTGAAGGTTTTAAGGACCGTTCATTCCTATATGCCGGTCCGGGGGCGCACGTGGTTACTTGCAAGTCAGGCGATGATATTTGTTGGCTGCTCACTCGTAGGGTATGTTTACCCACACGTTAAGCCTATACTTCTGATTAGATACTAATGTTACTTAGGAAGACGGCGGTGATGATATAGAAGACTGGGCCCAGGCCACGTCGACCGAGAAGGCCCTCAAGGCCGTTGAGGGCTGGGCGCCGTTCATGACCGAGCTTATCAATGCGACACCCAATCGTACTGTGCTTGAATGGAAGTTACTCTGGCGTAACCCTCAACCGCAGTGGGCATCACCTGGCGGCCGCATTGTCCAGATAGGTGATGCCGCACATCCGTTTTTGCCGACCTCGGCGAGCGGCGGGACTATGGCCATGGAAGATGCGTATTCCCTAGCGGCCTGCTTACAGATTGCGGGGAAGAACGACGTGCCTGTCGCAACGAAGGTGCATAACCACTTGAGGTATGTGAGGAAGCCTTGAAGGCTACACCTTGGTGTCTAGTCCTGGTATAAATAGGCACGGAAGAAGATTAGATGTTACAGAGGCTGACAATGCATGCATTGATGACAGGTTTGAGCGAGTCTCTTGCGCCCAGAAGACGGGATTCAAGAACCGCGAGTTGTACCACAAAACTGACTGGGATGCCGTCGCCAAGAATCCGGGGGTTATGGGTAAGATGGTCGGAAAGTGGTTGGTGCATCACGACCCAGAGCACTACGCACATGAAAACTACAGGAAATGTGCAGAGCACCTCAGCGGTGCACCATTTGAGAACACGAACGCCGTTCCTGGCTATAGGTACAAGCCGTGGACTGTCCAGGAGCTTCTGCACGCTTCGGAGAGTGGAAAGCCTGTTCAAGATGAAGGAGACTGGTCCTAGATAGAAGAGGTTTTCACAGCAGGTGACTTGGACACCAAAATCGCATTCCTTGCCAACTGATTTTGAATTTTTGATCTACATTCCTCTCCCACACGCAACATGATACATACGACCATAGGGTGTGGAAAACAGGGCTTCCCGTCCGCTCAGCCGTACTTAAGCCACACGCCGGTGAGTTAGTAGTTGGGTGGGTGACCACCAGCGAATCCTCACTGTTGTATG